TCCAAGTGAAAGAGTGCTGCTATGAGCTCACTTGGGTAGCATGGGCACTCCTCATGCAATTGTGAATATGGCGGAGTGAATTCCCAGCTTATGTAGGCTGAAACCAGCAGTCCAGCCAGCTTATGGGCCTCCTAATGTGCCTTGAGGTGAACCGAGGTACCCCCAAGGCAAAATTTCACTACTAGGCCCTTCCGGAGGTACCCGGGCCTCATTTTGGCCAAGCATATGCAGTCTGAGTGGTTGGTACCACTGACAGAGGGCAGAGGTAAGAGTCACCGTAAAATTCATTTCCATGTGTAGCCTGTATCCATTGTGCAAAGACAGGTTCAATCAAAATTTGTTTTTCTGGAGTACCAAAAGCTTGCATTACATCATTATGGACATATAATCCTAACGTGTGGGTTTCTAGCACGTATAACCATAAAGCCAGAAACTAAAGTGATGCTTGAAAAAATAGAAAAAAGTATCATTGTAGTGATTAATCTTTCTCTCGCTAGCGAGCCTACGGCCTTTGCTTTTTTCCGAGTAGATTAGATTGCTTTGGCTTTGAGGCTTGAACCCAATATGTTAGGCTCCACCTGGGATGCCTGATGCTCGAGCGCAAGCCACACTCAGCGGTTGGTGCAGCGGCAATGGTGGTACCTGCAAAACATGATGCCACCGCAACTGTGATGAGTTCTTAAAACTCAGCAGCAGTGGTGGGCTCTGTTGATAATTAAACTGCAATGTCTTTTTTTTTTTTTTTTCTTTTGCATGATTTTATTCTGGTTATCTGATTGCATGGACTTGCATCTGGATTTGAAATCACGTCAGTCTTTCAGCGGTTCATATGTAGTATGGATTCCGTACGTCTGGGCCTAAGTCCTCCTCCGTGCAAGCACAGATTCGAACCGGCGACTAAGGCCTCAAGAGCCAAGTCTCTTAACCACTACAGCCAGGACACAGTGTTCAAAAGTGGAATCGTACAGGTCGTGATATGTACCAACTGAGCTACGCAACATATTCTGTCTTTTCTTTTTTTTTTAAATATGGTTTCTCAGGGGATGCAATGAAAAGGGAGGCGCAGCTACTGGCAAAATGCTCGGTCTTTGCGTTAGCCGGACCCCCACCGGTGGGCCCCATGCCATCCTTGACCACCATGGTTGGGGGACGGGGGGCAACATGCATCCCCTCTGATGGCTGGAGGGAGACAACAAAGTCTATGTTCGCAGGGGTCCCCTGTATAAGCCTTAGGAGTAGTGATAGGTAGGTATTGAAGGTGAATAGAAAGAATTTGAAAAATGATGAAAGATTTGAGAGAAAGAATATAGTTAAAAATAATAATAATAATAATAATAATAAAAAGAAAAAACTACGGGTAGGCACTTTTCTGAATGTATTCGCCTGATTCAGTCTGAAAGGTCATGATGTGAGTATACCCTAAGGTTCTCACAGATCACATGTTCTCTCTCTTTTGGGACCGGACCATTCTGACTCCTTTCCATACGAGCTTTTTTTTTCTTCTTTTGGTCTTTGGGTAACAGCTTCATCAAGGGGCAAACATTGATGAAGCTCTTACCCAAAGGCCAAAAAGTTAAAAAAAAGGCTCGTATGGAGAAGTATGTGGGCCATCCAGCGGCATGATCGGATGGGCTGCATGCCACCCCACTCTCCAAAAAGAGAACAAGCAAGAACAAAAATTGATGGAGCTCTTACCCAAAAAAAAAAAAAGAAAAAAAAAAAGAAAGGCTCGTATAGAGACGTATGCGGGCCATCCAGTGCATCATCGGATGGGCTGAATTCCACCCCACTCTCCACCCCAAGGACTCGATTTTATGGTTCGCTATAAAGCAAAAAAGGGAGTGAGGATTCATACTCACATAGTTTCTACCTTCTGATTCTTGTCTTTGGCGAGAAGGGACTGTCAGAGAATCTATTAGAGCATCCCTTATGACACCACCTTCTCACAAATAATAGAAAAGTTAAAGGGCCAGTTCGGCGGACCTTAAGTTGCAAGTCTACTTTTTCTGTGCGCAAACAAATCGAATTGGTCCGCACCAGGACAGCACGTCAAGGGCATTGGATACCACCAGAAGTGTTGGAGGGGGATCTTACTGGTAGTATTAGGGCGTACTCACAGAGCGGTGGCATAGCAGCAAAATCTGTGAATTTTGCTAGCCCTATTTTGCATAGCTACGATATGTACTGTCTGGAGTCCAGCACCCGGTCCTGGTTTCCAGATCCTAGTCCGGATGGTTGGGAAATGGGGGGTAGGCCAATGTTTTTTTGGGCGGCCCAGGTCGATTTCTTCCATTCTGGGCCACCGTGGGTAAATACTCGGTGTTTTTTTAAGTGTTATGCTTGGCATTCAGACAGGGCCGGACGGAGGCCCTAACTTTTCTTTTCCCACCTGTATCTTTTGGATATGTTGTCGTTTTCATAAGGCCCGTATCTTTGCATAGGGCCAATTACTGTGCAATATCAGACGTGCCTGTAGCTACTCAGGATACGATGCATACCGTCTTCACCCGAATAGAACACCCGGTCATTATAGCTGTATTTGGCACAACTCTCGGTCCAGTGCAGCGATAATGACCGGGCGTTCTATTCGGGTGAAAACGGTAATATGTTCCTCTCCAAAACAAAGAACATCTAAGAAAAACACAAGAAAAGTAGACCCTGAAAAAAAAGGAAAACAGCGCCTGCAAGGGGGCTTTGAGCTGCGCTCCACTACTCACTTAATGTGCAAAATGAGAATGAGTCTTCCGTTCGAACAATGGAAAGATACACCACCATATTTTTTGTCTTTTCAATGTGGTGAGTAGTGGAGCGACGTTGTGTGCCCCCCCTCCAAGGGAAACCCAAATCTTTTGATTTTTTGTTTTTTTTCCCCCCTTGTTTTTGGCAAGCCCATGACTGTGTCTTTTTAATACGTGCATACCTTCCCAGGGGCAAGGTCCCACTTGCACGGATTAAGAGATTCTGGCCGTTGATCTTTTTGCTATCTACGGTCAATATCGCTTAATTCGTGTAAGTGGGACCTAGCCCCAGGATTGGATGCTTCATACATTCGAGCAACAGGGGAAAAAAAAAAAAACAGGAAACAAATATGTTATTTTCAGAGCGGGGCTCTTTGTATCCCCTCTGGCCGCCACTTGGCGGGTTCCATGAGTGCTGTTTTCTTCCTGTTTTTTTTCTGTTTTTCAGTCCTTTTTTTTGGTTGTTTTTTAACTGGTCTATGTGTGTCATCCTTGCACAGGGGCCGTGCTAATCTTCTCTGTATCGTTCCAATTTTAAACCACCAGTACACGGCCTCAGCCTTGCAGCAAAATAACTTGTTGCCACAAGAAGTAAAAGACGGGCTCGGGGCAGGTTCGGAGCGTCACAAGGTTTTTGATTTTTTGGGCCCATGTCAAATCCGGATGTCCCAAAAAACAAAACAAGCTTTGGCCGTGATTGCAGTTGGATACACTTTTTGGAGTACTCCGTATGAGCCTGCCCTCAGTGAGGGCACTTCAGCAGAGGGAAGAACACTGGGAGCACGACTGTCAGACAAAGAAAAGAAATTAAAAAAAAACAGAAAACCAACCACGCTTTAGCAGTGAAAGTGGTTGGATTCATTTCAACGGCTAGTGCGAGCATGCCTTCAGGGAGGGTGTTTTTAGCACGAGGTGCGCTGCCTTGCTGGGAGCGAAAGGAGGAAAAGAACAAAAGCAGAAAAAAAGAAAAATCAGCAACGTTTCCCTCTCCCCGTAATAGTGGTCAGATGCATTATGGAAAGTGATCACTTGAGTATGGCCTCCACGACGTCCTTCCACGACATCATTGATCTCTGGCTTGTTTGTTCCTTTCTTTTTCTCTTCTTTTTTCCCTTCAGGTAGACTGTCGGCACGGGTGCCACTTCGGAAATTCCCACTGCAGGCACCCTCACGTAGAAGGCTCGGAAAATAGCGGCGCGCAGTGGGCAGGTAGGTTCGGGATTTTAGGTGCGGGTGGACTGGTGGTTTAACAGATGCCCTGAAGGACACGTGCCCTTTTTTTGACGTGGCCGTTGGCAAAAAGCCAACGGCATACGCATGGGCCTAGCCCACTTCGCTACACCCATGAACTGTTGAAATACAGACCCACGTTCGAGTCCAGATACAATCAGATGACCAGAATAAAATAATTCTGAATCACCCGGGGCGAGGTCCCACTAGCAACGGGATAGGATAGAAACGAGTTTGTGGGGCAGTTGAATGACCCAAATCCTGCCGTGCAGTACTTGTGATCCCACGGTCAGTATTTTACATGTATTACCCGAAAAATTAAGGAGGTCTTCGTTCCCCTCCTCCTCTCCTTAACCCCAAAGGAGGGGTGGGGTGGTGTTGGCCTTAGGCCCACTGGATAGAAGATTTTCAGTATTTTACTTGCTGTTGTGCAATTATCTCATTGGGTGGAGCCCTCCTCCAATCACAGAGTATATGGAGGGTGTCAGGATCAGTGCTGACAGAAGTCAAGTTTATTCCAGAAAATGTGGCAGTTACTTTGTTCACTGTTGTCGCAACCACCACCATCAGATCATTTGTGATCTGATGGCTGGGAAGCACTCTGCCGTGATTTCCGGTGGGAGGTCTCTGTTTCTTTTTCTTTTTTTGGCCTTTTCTCCTGTTTTCTCAGCCCAGAAATTCGTAATGAACCTGTCTGGCCGCTGCCACTCAGTGATACACTGGATCGGCCACACTCATATCCGACTGCTAATGGGACCTCTCCCCTGGAACCGGTGAGTTTAGACCACCAGTACCTGGCCCAGCTATCGAGTCCAAGCCTCGGCCGACCGGTACGCCGATTCGTGCCGAGGCTAGGACTACCGGGCGCAGGCATCCCGAACGTCCATGTGAAGCAAACGAAAAAAACGAGAAAAAATAACGAAAAAAAAAAGAAATAAGAAAAACAAGCAGGTGCAGCCAGCGCAGCTCCGCCCGCGAAAAAAGTCAGGAAGCAACCCCAATGAAGGATCTCACTTCGCTCTTTCTGTCTCTGACTCTATGTTTTCTTTGTTAGTGTATAGCTGGTGCTTTCTGTATCACTGTTTTAGCTCTTGGCGTCTTCTGTCTATCTAAGTGTTTGTGGAAAGCCGAATAGAAAACAGCAATAGTCACAAACTGCAAGGTCATACGCAGTCACAAACAGAATAGTAAATAGCAATGAATCTTCAACGATTCGAAAAACATTATCATCGTCACTGAAAAAGAGTAGAAAACAGAATCGCTAAACTTAAAATCAACCGGCCACAAACGCCATCCACATATTCAATTTCACCGATTCGATTAACAACAGGTCAAGTTATCTTGACCGGTCACACCGCCCTAAGCTCTCTCTCTCTCTCTCTCTCTCTCTCTCTCTCTCTCTCTCTCTCTC